AGTTGGTTCACAGTCTCCCCACAAAATATCTTTTTTATATCTACAAAGTATGTTCTGTGAGGGAAAAATGGCAATGTGAATGCCTATAAACATCAAGTACAACCTGCTTCAGACAAACATTTTGCCCAGAAACTCCCTAGCAACGAGGCAACTGGTGAAGTGTCAATCTGTGGTTAAAGTTCAATGCAAATCAGATTAACAGTAATCATAATTATGTGAGGAGCCTGTAGGCCATTAGTAAATTTATGCAAGCAATCACCATTGTAATGGATTACCGAGGATAGTCAGAACTTCGTAAATAAAAGTGACTGTACTCAAATTGTTTAAACATATACCAAACTGGTTATACAAGTAGAACCAATCAAATCTAATTGTTAAATGTCATGAACTGCTTCCAACAGATGTTCCAAACACTTTAGAATTAATTTCCCCCAGCTATTTGACCAGCAAAAGAAAAAAAAAGTGTGCAATAAAGTTGGAAAGTATTAAATGCATTATGTTCAGAAATGGAATCTGCTCTACCACTTCACATCAAAAAATTGGAGCATTGGCCCAACATGTATCATAACATTGGTGCTGTTGCTGAAGGAAAAAAAATACATATTCCTCACTGAACTTTGCTTAAGATCCACTGAAAGAAGTGGATACTTTTTACCCAGGAAGACAACTATGTGCCAAGTCTTGAATTTCCTCAAGACAGAAGTTAGATCCTTCCATTTGGTTGAACTGCAGATCCTGCTGTCAATGAAGGTAAACAATCTTTCAAACTACATGCCACATGAAGAGGGAAACTGAAATAGAATCATAACTGAATGTCATCAGAATGATAAGTTTGAAATGTAAAGTTTTAAGTGCAAGGATAAGAGTGGAAACAGAAAAACAAAGAGGTTTTGATCTGGTGGCTGTTGAGATTAAATAACAATAGTTAGTTGGTGGTTACAATTTACAACTTTTCAATGCTAATGAAAGGTCTTCAACTTAAACATTAACACCTCTTCTCATCCACAGACTGCTTTTAATGCTATCTGTTTACAATTGCCATCATCCTACATTTGTCCTTTTGGGAATTGTTTTGATCAAGAATAGAGCGAAACCACGCTCATCTTTTTGGAATTCGAAAGATCTCATGTTGTGGTACACCGAGGCTGGGATGGTCTGGGTTTCTCTTGGCAAACATAACATTGACAAAAAAAAACCATTTTAACTTTCAGTTGAACAAGATTCAAATGGTAATATAGGATACAATATTCTACTTGAAGGCAAGACTAGTTGTTGGGAATCATTACTGTGGGCTGGCAAAGCAAAAAACTTTTCACAAGGTTTAAACCCCAAGAAGATCTCATTTGAATTGTTTGACTGAAAAGTGCTTTTAAGCACATTTATTGCTCTATAGTAGCTACTGCCATGCTCTAATACATGGAAAATTAGAATCAAATATATCCAGAAAATATCAAGTTTTGCATTAATTCTCACTTCATACTGAGAATTCTGATTATTAATCAAGCTTTGTATCATCACTGTCTAACAGACTTCCCCAATCAAAGGCACTAGTTTCAGTCAAAATGCTTTAGATGCAATAAAGATAATGCATCACTTGTATGTTTACTTCAAAACCAGCTATCATAATTGAATACACAAAACTTCCATGTACAATCAATGTGAAATATTCCTCACTTCACAGTTCTCATCTTTCTCAATGGTCAATAATATTGTCTTGCTCAATGAAAGATCAATCTACTGCTTCTTTTCATTTATCAACAAGTACAATTTGCAATTATACAGTGCCATTAGTCTAATAACAGGGTTCTTAACAAGGGAAGTAAATAAAATTTGACACCATGCAACATGATGAACTATTAGGGCAGATGATCAAAAGTGTGTTCAAAATGGTTGGTTTTAAAGGGAGTATCTCAGAGAAAGAAAGTATGTTAACAAGGTGGAGATGTTTAGAAAGGGAATTTCCATGCTTAGAGTGGAGGAAACTGAAGACACATTCAGCAATGATGGAACAATTCCAATCAGGGATGTTTGAAAGGTCAGAATTATAGAAGCAGGTATTGCAGAGGGTTGTGCAACTGGATGAGATCACACGTAGGAAGGGCAAAGTCAAGGAGGGATTGAAAACCATGAACGAGATTTTAAAATTTAAGTATTGCTTAACCAGGAGCTAGCGTAGATGAGCAAACACAGGGGAGTGTGGGATTTGGTGCATGAGGAATTGGGCAGTTTTGCATGATCTCAAGTTTTACAGAAACTGGAATATGCGAGGCCAGTCAGAATATAATAAAATAATCTAATCCAGAGGTAACAAAGGCATGGACAAAGCTAAGGATGTGAAGGAGTGGGTAATGCTATGGAGGTGGACTTGTGGTCAGAAGCTCCACGGAAAGAATCAGGAATGGAGTTGATCAAATATTTGAAAAGCCTGACATGGTCTATGTGCAATTAGTTAAAAAAAAATACTTAAGACAGCATGTCATGGACGTGGGAAGACAATTTATTTTATTAGCAATTACATGTAAACTCCTGAGTTTACAGGAGATTTCCTGGGAGAATCAATTACAAAAGACAGCAAATCATTCAAAAAAAAAATCAGAACAATGTTTGCCGGGTCAGACATTTATCAAATGATCAACCTAAAAGTGAAACAAATGGAAAGGACAACAAAAATTAGATAGCAATTTTGAAGATACTGGGAATTGTACAGTTGAGGCAGGACTTATTCAATATACCGGATCTAGTTATTATAAGTTAAAAGTTTTAACTACCAATTGAACAGAAGTAAAGACACAAATAATAGGGGAACCAGCAGAACAGCATTAATAAGTCACCAGAAGAAAGAAAAATTAAAAAGCGACTTTGAGAAAAATGTCATGAGAGGTGCAGACTTAGCAGCTATTGAGGCGTAGAGTCATAGAGGAACTTCAAAAATTAAAACAAACTGCAAATTCTGGAAATACACAGCCAATTGGTCAACATCTACAAACAGAAAATAATTCAACGCTTTTGTTCAGAATCTTAATTAGAACTCTAGTCTAATGAAGGGTTTACATTAACAACATCAATTCATTTTTTCTTCTTTATAGATTGAGATTTTCCATATATTCAGTGTGTGTTCTGCAGAGGCAGTACAGTTCATATTACAAAAACGATGTACGTCCTAAGTTACAGCACTTAAATCAAAAGGTTCATTTTGCAATAATCACAAAAATGTTCAGAAACTCCAGCTTGGTGAAACAAATTAAGTAAAATACTGTATACTTGAAAGTTTGAAGCAGCCAAGCAAAACTAATATGAGATACAGATAAGAAACCACAAATTGCCAAGCAGAGAGAACAGGTCAACTGTTCTTGAGAGTTATTGATGTTTTAAACTTGTAAGTTTTATATTTGTATGAATGGCTATAAAAAAAGTTTAAGGCAAACCATATAAACCTGTTTGATCTTTCATTTTCAAAAGTATGCATACATTGCTTCAAGGATGTTGTGCTGTCTCAGAAATAGAGGTTCATTTATTACACTTTAAAACAAATAGTTTAATATAACTCACAAAACTTCTAAAATGCTGGCAAAGATTCCCAATGGAATCAATGTAATTTTTTTTCAACTACTGCTCCGTCTATTACGGTAATTCACCAATGTTATTACCGTGTTTTGGTATGCAGCTATTTCAAATTCCCTTTTACATCAGTCGTATTACAAGCTACGAATGTATAAGCTGCTGCAGAATACTAATCATCAAGCATTAAATAGTCAGGTTCTATCTAAAATTAGGAAATACTATTTCCTATGACAAAATTTTATGACCATGTGCAATTTGAAGCAAAAATTCCATCCACTCAATAATTTTCTTTAACACCATCTGTCATACAGTACTGATTGTTTAAAGATGAATCAGCAGCACATATTGAAGCAATATCAATTTACTACATGTAGTAACTGAAACTACATGTTTCTTCAATGAATATATAAAAATTAACTTGGAATATCAACTTGCCATGACCTCCGCATGACTCTCAATATTGCTATGATCCAAGTTACTGGATCGTAGTTTATTTGTACTGAAGTATATTTGCTAACCAAGTTCACGGCATTTAACTCTAAAGATATTTGTGACACCTCCGAAATCAATACCTACAACTAATACAGTCTTAGTTACGATTTTTTAAAAATATCTGGTAATGGTTCAATGTGGGAATATTTACAGTACAAGTTTGCATGAACTGGTGTTCACACGAAATCTTAAGTAACCATGTAATTTTAATTGTTTCAGAGATAGTAGGAACTGCAGATGCTGGAGAATCTGAGATAACAAGGTGTAGAGCTGGATGAACACAGCAGGCCAAGCAGCATCAGAGGAGCAGGAAGGCTGACGTTTCGGGCCTGGACCCTTCTTCAGAAAATTTTCTGAAGAAGGGTCCAGGCCCGAAACGTCAGCCTAATTTTAATTGTAACTGGTAATTTTATGTGGAATAATCAATGTTGTACAATCAGCATCTTTAGTCCCTGCTGTAAATGTTGGCAAAAGCTCAAGAACACTATTACTTTTGAGATAATTCATTTGTACGTTCTTTTAGGTACTAGTAATGTACCGATTATGAAGCTGATTGAGTGACTGGCTTGTAAATTAGGCTGATTGTTGTTAAAAGAAAAACCTCATTGCTGAGCTGGGCAATGCTTTGAAGCATTCTGACATGAAAGTGGTGCTTCATTGGCATAGATTAACCTAAATGCCATGGTGGTTGTGTAGGGGGTGTTCAGTTATCATAGACTTCTGATGGAATCCTTCCTCCAATCCCAGCCATGCCCAATGTAGTGTTTAAGTAGATTAGTAATCTAACATTTGGATTAAAATGCCTGCATGACTAATCAGTAAAACAGTTAGAATAGTTTTCTCTGTTGATTTACCAATCAATTATCCATTTGCTGTACTTTTTTGCATCGTGGAAAATAACTGCAAAATTTTTAAATAAATAACTCAAACAAAAAAAAAAGAGAACATTTGATTTTCCTCACCACTCCAATTGGCTTTATTTAGTGTAGTTTTTTGATCATTTTGTCCTAGAGCAATAGTAACTAAGTCCATGCCTTTCCAGGTACAGTCCCCATCATCACAAGTAGATTGCTGTTTAAAGTATTAATTTTAAAGCACCAAATTCATTCACAGCTAAAAGGAACATTGTACTGTGAGCCTTTCTACTACTGTTTCAGCTTACAAAGTGTGTAAACACACATATCACTAGTCAACACTTAATGGGTCTTAGTTAGTTGCATGATATTTGGTCATGATTTTACGTAGAAGAATTCAAGCCAGAATTATACCAGGATTGAAGGGCTCAGCAAATAGATATGCATGCATAAAAGTTAAGATCAAAAGAATTATCTATTACAGCAGAATACTAGGAAGTTACTGCTGAAAGAAATTAAATATGATATTATTTGTTCTAGAGTTCAACTTAAAATTTGTATTATCACAACATAGAAAAGCCAGAAATAGGGACCACCACAGATTTATGCTGCCAGATCTAGAAGGATGTATTTAGAAGGAAATTTTGTGATCACTCCATTTGGTAAAATACAATATGAATATTTACTGTAACACCTGAGACAAGGAAATATTAAAACTTCCTTCAAAATATTTGATAGGAACAATTCTGTTCATACAGCATTAACTGTTGTACAAATATCTACATGCTGCATACAGAATTAAACAGTATTAAAAATGTTGCGCTTCACTTTTCCAGATGCCATGTGCTACTTAAAGCCTTTAACTGAGTGTATTTCAACAGCTGCTGGAGCAATATCTTCTATTTCAAAAACCAATAAATGAATCTGGAAGTTGCTACATAGATAAGTATTAGTGGAGCACTTTATAAGCTTACCATATAGCCTTTCATTATATAAGCCGTGTCAAATAACATCCTTGGGATCCATTAAGTTAACAAGTAATACAGAAAATTTCAATATTAAATGTAAATTGCAATGACATGTAAAAACTATTAACTGAAAACAAAGGTTACCAATGCAAATACTGTGCTGATACAACCTTCCGTATATACACAATAAAAATGTCAGTATCTGCAAAAATAATTTTAAAATCGTGCACAAAGTATACATTTTGTTGTAACATTTAAAATTTCCCTTGCAAAGGAAGCAATGGAAATTTCATTTTTCAATAATTTTAAGATCCTCCAACACTCCTTTCTGATCAACTTCCATTACATCTTAAACCCAGGGAGGGGCATTTTTGTGCATCGATTCCATCTTCAGTCTGCTCCACTGCAGCTTATGGCCCATCTAAAAAGGGAAGCAATGTTTGCGACAACCACTGTAACCCATGATCATTTTATGGCAATCTGGAAAAAAAACAAATCAAAATCCATTCTCCTGGGAAAGTCTGAGAAGATCCCATCTCGTGCTACCTGTCTTCCATAGCTTATGGGATCACTGCAGGAATTTTCTTTAACCAAGTCAAAAACAGACTACCGACACAAGTCTGCTGAGGCAGCATCTCCTTTGTGCTTCCTCTTTTTGCTAGGACAGTGCTGCTGATGTGGCTTGTTGCCTGGATTCTGTTTGTTTGTTACACTTCCAACATGGTTGGAGTTCTGTTGCCCTTGGAAGCCTTTGATAGATGAACGAAATAGTCTTGCTGCACCATGCTAGAACAAAACAATATGTTAACAAAACATTATTCCTTTAGCAGAAAATAAAACGTTTCAGCAGTTACATAAAAAAATGCTGACAAAGTATTCTTATTACACATTATCTTGTTTATTGCACCATGAAATTAACTTTATATGCTACATGATACAATTAAGACTATTTTTGCCAAAATTACAACAGTGACTACAATTTGAAAATGTTTCATTGGCTGTGAGGTATTTTTGATGTGCTGAGTTTGTGAAAGATGTGATATGAATGAAAGCTCCTTCTTGATCAGTTAATTCTCTACACAGGTACAAATTTCCGTACTTATCACCCTCTTCCTGTTGTCAATCCTTTTCCAACTGGGGTTATTTCCCAGTAATTTTAGAACGGGAGAGCGAAAATGATAAAATATTGCTCTTCCAAACTCACCTACATAAATTTCATTTTAAGGTTACAAACTTGTATTTTACTTGAAAGGTGACAAAACTGAGTGCTCATCAGCACTTCTATTAAATGCATTTTCTTTTAAAACACAGTTGAAGCCATAAAAATAAACACTAATTTGCCTGTATCTCAACATAAAATTTGTTTTTAGGTATTTTCACTAGAGAAAAGCACTTGAAAAGTTTCTTTGGCATTATAGCTAACAGCTGCCTCATCCTCCTCCACACCCTCTGTCTACAATAACCTAGCACTTAAACCTGGACATCACCTCACATCCAATTCTACTGTTCTTTTACGAGATTCCACTGTCTTTCCAACTAAGTCAAATCTCTTCCCCACCTTCCAATTTGCGATACTGATCTATTTTGATTCCATTCTCTGAGATTTGCCTCGCAGTTTAACCTTGCTGTACCTACGCCATCAAAGTTCTTCAAAATTTGCAACAAAGCCTTCAGTCATTTCCCCAGTCCTCCGCTTCATTCTACAAGCATCTCCCCAAATCGAGAAGGGCTTTGTTAAATCCTGCTCTGTTAAAATACTATTCCAGAATTTCTTGCAGACTTGCACCATAATAATAGGGACTCTACTCACTGGAGTTTAGAAGAATGAGAGATGATCTCATTGAACCATATAGCATTCTTAAGGGGTTTGACAGCATAAATGTGGAAGGGGATGTTTCCCTCATTGGAGATTCTAGGACCAGAGGGGATCGTCTCAGAATGAAGGGATATCAATTAAGATTGAATGGAGGAAGCTCTTCTTGCAGAGGGTTGTCTCTTGTTGGAACTCCCAGCCACAGACAGCTGTGGAGGCAGAGTACATGTGTATATTTATGGCTGAGAAAGATCAATTCTTGATCAGTAGAGAAATCGAGAGTTATAGGGAAAAGGCAAGAAAGTGGACATGACGAATGTTAGAGGAGCCTTGATCCTATTGAATGGCAGAGCAGGCTCAAGAGTCAGAGTTACAGAGCACCAAAACAGACCCTTTTGGTCCAACTCGTCCATGCCGACCAGATATCCTAGATAACTGTAGTCCCATTTGCCAGCATTTGGCCCATATCCCTCTAAACCCTTCTTATTCATATACTCACCCAGATGCCTTTTAAAGTTTGTAACTATACCAGCATCCACCAGTTCTTTCTGGCAGCTCATTCCGTACATGCACTACCCTCTGTGAAAAAGTTGCCCCTTAGGTCCCTTTTAAATCTTTCCCTTCTCTTTAAACCTCTGCCCTCTAGTTTTGGGTTCCCCCCCAACAAAAGACTTTGTCTATTTACCCTATCCATGCCCCTCATGATTTTACCACCTGATCAAGATCCCATTGTACTCTGAGGTAACCTTCTTTGATGTCTACTACACCTCCAATTTAGTTGTCATCTGCAAACTTACTAACCATACCTCCTATGTTCAGATCCAAATCGTTTATATAAGTGACAAAAAGCAGCAAACCCAGCACCGATCCTTGTAGCACACTGATAGTCATAAGCCTCCAGTCTGAAAAGCAACCCTCCACTACCACCCTGTTTTCTACCTTTGAGTCAGTTTTGTATCCAAATAGCTAGTTCTCCATCTATTCCATGTGATTAAACTTTGTTAACCAGTCTACAATGAGGAACCTTGTTGAATGCCTTACTGAAGTCCACCTAGATCACGTCCACCACTCTGCCCTCAATCTCTTCGTTACTTCTTCAAAAAAACTCAATCAAGTTAGTGAGACACGATTTCCCATGCATACAGCCATGTTGACTATCCCTAATCAGTCCTTGCTTTTCCAAATGCATGTAAAGTCTGTCCCTCAGGATTCCCCCAGCAACTTGCGCATCAATGTCAGGCTCGCCGGTCAATAGCTCACTGGTTTTTCTTTACCACCTTTTTAAAATAGTGGCACAACGTTAGCCAACCTCCCGTCTTCCGGCACCTCACCTGTGATGATACACCATCGATGATACAAATATCTCAGCAAGGGGCCCAGCAATCACTTCCCTAGTTTCCCACAAAGTTTGAGGGTACACCTGATCAGGTCCTGGGGATTTATCTACCTTTATGCATTTTAAGGCATCCAGCACCTCATCCTCTGTATTAGACATTTTTCAAGATGTCGCTATTTATTTCCCCACCTTCTCTATCTTCCATTTCCTTCTCCACAGTAAACACTGATGCAAAATACTCATTTAGTATTCCCCCCATCTCCTACATTTCCACACATAGGTGGCCTTGCTTATCTTTAAGGGGCCCTACTGTGTCCCTCGTTACCATTTATCACTTAATGCATTTATATACTCCCTTTGGATTCTCCTTAACCCTATTTGTCGAAGCTATCTCATGTCTCTTCTCTGCCCTCCCGATTTCCCTCAAGTATTCTCCTACTGCCTTTAGTACTACTCTAGGGATTCACTCGATCTCTGCTGTCTATGCCCGACATATGCTTCATTCTTATTCAAGGCTGAACAGCTCACTCCTGTTCCTGTTTCTAATGGCTTACGGTTATGGTTATTTTAATAATACCACCTTGAACTGTCTTGTCCAACATAATAAGGTCACAATTTCCTTTTATGTATAGAATGCTTTCATACAGAAAACAAAAAAGTGATACGCAATTTAAATTTAAGTTTTCATTTCAGCATCCATTGTATCATGGGGAATTGATCCCACATCAAGAGGGATCTTCTCAATCGAAGGACATTGGAGCGAGCTGTCCATTTAACATGGAGTAAGTCTTTGGCTTTCTGACTTTAAAAAAAAGTGATTTGGAAATGCTGTAACAAGGGCAAGATGGCCATTAATAGTTGGCAATCAAGGTTTTTCTCCATCAAACCAATCAACTTTTAACTGCCCAATACCTGGTTTGAAAGCCTTGAATGGATATGGTAACAATTGTAACACGTTATTAGAATAGGAAATGCAATTTGAAAGGGGGTAAAGGTTGAGTCATTAAAAGTAGAGTCTTCTTGCAGCTAAATTGAACACTGGCAGCAGACCACAGAATAATTCCAAACCTGAGCTTTAGTGGTGTTAATTGTTGAATTGCTTGATGTACTATGCTGCGCTTTCAAATTTGGCAATGGAGACGATTCTGCTGCAGATTCCTGTGGCACTGATCTGTTAATAGTGGACTGGTGACTGCCAGATTGTTTGGAAGTTTTGCAAGGTGTCCCATCAGAGTCCTAAATGTAAAAACATATGAATTACATTTAAAATCATGCACAAACACCAGAAACAAAAAACACTCCTGCGAAGATTTGTAGTGCGGGTTACGGACGAGGTTGTTGGCTTGCTCGCCCAGCTGGCTGGTCATCGTACAGATGTTTCGTCACCTTTCATCAGTGCGGCTTCCGATGAAGTGATGTTGTTCTACTCCGCTTGGAATTAATATGCTCCTGTCTGTTAAGTTGGGTTGTGTCATTTCCAGTTCTTTTTTGCATGGGTTTGCATATAGGGTCTAATTCCACATGTTTGTTGATTGCATTATGGGTTGAAAACCAGGTCTCTAAGAATTCCTGTGCGTGTCTGTGGTTGGCTTGAGCTAGGATGGTCATGTTGTCCCAGTTAAAATCGATGGCCTTCATTGTCCAAGTCCGCCGAGATGATGGAAAGTTCGTTGTGTCATTTTGCTGCGAGCTGGTATTTGTGTATCCTGATGGCGAGTTTCCTTCCGGTCTGGCTGATGTAACGTTTGTTGCAGTCATTGCAAGGTATTTTGTAAACTACGTTGGTCCTGCATGTCATGGCTATGGGGTCTTTGGTCCTTGTGAATCTTTGTCATAGTGTGGCTGTGGGTTTCTGTGCTACCATAATCGTAGCAGTTTCGTTATCAGTTCTGATATGTTCTTGACATAGGATAGTGTGACCAGTGTATTGGGGTGTACTGTGTCCTCTTGGCATTATCTATCGAGTAGGCACCTGTGGATGAAGTTGTTAGGATATCCGGTGTTAGTGAAGACCTTGTATAGGTGCTCTTCCTCCTCCTTGCATAGTTCTGGCGTGTTGCAGTGTGTTGTGGCTCGCTTGAATAGTGTCCTAACACAGCTTTGTTTGTAGACATTGGGATGATTGCTATAGAAATTAAGGATTTGGTCAGTGTGGGTTGCTTTCCTATATACTGTGGTTTGGAACGCCCCGTTGGTCATTCGTTCTACCCGGACTTCGAGAAACGGGAAGTTGATTGTCGTCTTCCTCTTCTCTCATAAATTTGATCCCAGTGAAAACGTCGTTGATGAGATGTCATGTTTCTTCAAACTTGATGCATTTAATGATGAACAACATGTCGTCCACGTATCGGATCCACAGTTTTGGCTGTATAAGGGGGAGGGTAGTGCGTTCCAGTCTTTGTCTGACTGCCTCTGCACTAAGTCCCGAGGTGGGTGACTCCATAGGTGTGCCATTGATTTGTTTGTATATTTGGCCGTTAAAAATGAAGTGTGTGGTGAGGCACAGGTCCAGTAGTCTTGAGTATGTCGTCCTTGCTGACAGAGCTGTTTGGAGTCAATGTTTCTGCTGTGTCCAGTAATGTGGCAAATATTTCTTTGGCTGTTGGTATGTTAATGGACATAAATAGTGCCTTGATGTCAAAGGACATCATAATGTTGTACTCGTTGATTTTAATGTTCTTGAGTTTGTTAAGGAATTCCTGGGTTGAATGGAGTGGAGTGGGGTGATCCATCGACCAGGTGTTTTAGTCTCTATTATAGGTCCTTGGCCCATTTGTGTGGGTGTGCCTGGTAGGAAGACAATGGGTCTGAGGGGGATGTCTGGTTGGCGTACTTTGGGTAGTCTGTAGAAGCAGGGGGGTGTTCGAGCTTTCTGGTTTCATTTTCACGTAGTCTCTCTTGGTTATTTGTCCTGCATTTTTAGTCTCTTCAGCATTTCAGTGATCCTATTTGCCAGCTGCGGTGTTGGGTCTGTCTCTCTCCCTCTCTGTCTGTCAGCAATGCCTGTCCTTTCTCAATGTAGTCTGGTCTGTTCATAATGACGGTCATGTGTCCTTTGTCCGCTGGTAGGATTATGATTTTCCTGGCTTTCTTGACTCCTTTGAGTGCTTTTCTCTGATGTGTTGAGGGTGTTCCATTCATTCGTCTGGTTCAGTGTAGGGATTATAGTTTGTCGGATAGCTTATTGTGTTTCATCTGCAAGTCCATTACCTTTTAGTTTAGCTTCCAGAGCGGCCATGAAGTCTGTTCTGTTCGCATCTCTGTGGTTATAGTTTAGTCCACGTATTAGGACAGCTTTCTCGGTTTCTGCAAGTGGTCTATTGGATAGTTTTCTTATCCATGATTCTGCTTTGTTGTTGTCCTTGTCTTTATGGTGGATCAATTTGGTCAGTTTCTGCTGTAGAGTGTGTTTCTTCTTTGTTCTGGTCCAGTGTTGTGTGATGGTGATGGCCTGTTCCAGGGTTGTAGTCCATTGCTGGTTGGAGATGTTTTGGTATAATGATTTTTGCCGTGAAATTTCTTGCTTGTACTCGTGGAGTTGATTCTGGGCATCATTGGTCATTATCCGCAGCATTCTCCGGCCATTTTGTTCAGCTGTTTTGTTTGCTTGTGGGTTGAGTGGAGATATGTACTTAATGCTGTGGGGCAGTACTTGGTTCCCGAGGCATTCGTGGAAGATGTGAAGTTGTTTGCGGGGAGCGCTCAATCAGTTGGCAAAGATTTCCCACTGTCAGGCTACTTTGAACGTGTTGCCATACCTGACATGCAGGACCAACGCAGTTTACAAAATACCTTGCAATGACTGCAACAAACATTACATTGGCTAGACCGTAAGGAAACTAGCCATTAGGATACACGAACACCAGCAATCACGACACAGAAATGACAAAAACGACACGACAAACTTTCCCTCATCTCGGTGCAATCGGACAATGAAGGCTATCGAATTAACTGGGACAATGTGACCATCCTAGCTCAAGCCAACCACAGATGCACGGAAATTCCTAAAGGCCTGTATTTCAACCCATGATGCAATCAACAAACATGTGGAATTAGACCCCATATACAAACCCATGCAAAAAAGAACCGGAAATGACACAACTCCACTTAACAGACCAGATCAGACTAATTCCAAGCGGAGTACAACAACATCACTTCATTGGAAGCCGTACTGATGATGTTACCTAGCATGGTGATTAAACATCTGTACGATGACCAGCCAGCTCGGCGAACAAGCCAACAACCTCAAAAAAAAAACACTGCAACTGGCAATACTATTCTATTCAGCATTGTGGCTTGCATTAGATGAAAAGGTTGAAATCTATTGTGAAAGATTTTACAGATCATGCAAGCCAATAGAAAAACCTTAATCTGAAATTTTCTGTGATACTATATTTTTCACAGATTCCTAACTCATTCACAGCATGTGGGTATCAATAACAAGGCCAGGTTTTACTGCAAAGATGTGAGCTGCCTCCTTGAACCACTGCGACCATATGGCGAAAATTGTTCCAAACTGCTACAAAGAAGGGAGCTCCAGGATTTTGAACCACCAAAATGTATGGCAATATATCAATTCAGGATAATGTAACACTTGGAAAAGAACATTCTCTCTCACAGATGAAGGACTTCCTTCTAAACATTATGATTTGGTTTTATTTTTCATTCATCAGATCATTCTGGTCTGAATCCTCATAGCAACCATCTGACCTATCACTGCTTCTTCCTTCCTGATGTCTACCAACTTCAGCAATTCAACAAATAACATGACTAAAATGAAAAAGATTGAATCTGACTGGTATACAATTTAACACCAAGTAAACGTGACTTTTAGTGATTCAATTCGGTGCCAATTCATACTGTAGTCAATGTTTGAGGGAATTTGCTTCATGACAGAATGTGGTCACTCTGTGCATTTTCTGCCCACGTCCTTCTCGCTCAAAGTGATAGATGATTTGGAAAGTGCAGAAAAAGAAGTCTTGGTGAGTTGTTACAGCACCTCTTACAGAAGGTACACACTGAAGCCATGGTGTACTAATGGTGGAGGGAGTATATTCTAGGTAAATGTGAAGCAAGCTGCTTCATCTTGGATGGAAAGGTTTAGGGAAATCAGGTAATTGCAACCAGAGCGTTATATTTCATTTGATTTGATTTCTTAATTGTCACATGTACCAAGTTACAATGAAAAGTATTGTTTTGCATGCTAACCAGACAAATCATACTTATTTAAATTCAGCAAGGTAATACACAGAATGCAGAATACAGCATACAGCTACAGAGAAGGTGCACAGAAAGATCAACTCTAATAGATGAGAGGTCCATTCAGAAGTCTGATAACAGTGGGAAAGAAGCTATTCTTAAATCTGTTAGTATGTTTTCAAACTTTTGTCTTCTGCCTGATGGAAGATAGAAGGGCATATAAGCAGGGGTCTTTGATTATGTTGCCTGCTTTCCTGAGACAGCAAGTAGAAGAGATGGAGTCAATGGAAGGAATGCTGGTTTTCATGATGGGCTGGGCCGCATTCTTGTTGTTTTGGGCAGAGCAGTTGACATACTATGCTGTAATGCATCCAGATAGGATGCTTTCTATGGTGCAGCTACAAAAATTGTGCACATGCTGAATTTCTTTGACCTTCTAAGGAAGTAGAGACATTGTTGTGCTTTCCTGACTGGAGCATTGACGTGGATGGACCAGGATAGATTGTTGGTGATATTTACTCCAAGGAACTTGAAACTCTCGACCACTTCCACCTCAGCACCATTGATGCAGACAGGCATGTCCTCTACTCCGCTTCCTTAAGTTGATGACCAGCTGTTCATTTTTGCTGACAGTGAGGGAAGGGATTGTTATCCTTACACTTTGCCACTAAGCTATCTCTTTCTTGAATTTGGTTACAGTCATGAGTGTTTAAGGAGAATAAAAGAGTTAAAAGGGCTAAATATGCAGCCTCGCGGGGCATCAGTGTTGAGGGTTACTGTGGAGGTGGTGGTGTCGTCACTTCCTGACTGCCATCTTCGCGTTAAGTAGAGGATCCAGTCAAGTCTCTAATCAATGGTGGCCCCTCCAGGATGCTGATGGTGGTAGATGTTAATAGGCATGTCAAAAGGACTTGGCTGACTCTCCTGATACGGTGTGAGTATTACTACTGCTGATTGGCCCAAGCCTGAACAGTGATGGGTTTTGCTGTATGCAAGTTTGAACTGCTTCATGCTCTCGGAAGCTGTGCAGTGAACAT